CTTGTCTTTCAGGGAAAAGGGAAACAATTTCATTCTAGCTATCTTTTCCATCCCATGATTGGGAAGGAAGGTTGCAACTATTTCCTCAAAATTCCTTATGTGTGAGTAGGGGCTCTAAGTTTCAAGTCCGTTGAACGTGAGAATTAGTTGCAACATCCCTGACTTAACTATGAAAAGATGAGCTTGGACCGGAAGGAGGATGCATGATGGTGTGGTGCTTCGTGTTGGTTGTAGGAAATCCCTCATTGACCTCACCGGGGGATCCATTTGAAAATTATTCCCCTCATTCACGGGAGGGGGAAAATTCATTCTCGGATTGGGTATTTGGGGTTCTTGTGGTCCCCCACCCCTTTGGACATTTGAATTTGCACCCCTTTGGACATTTGGATTTGCACCTATATTGTCAAAATTGTCACCCGTATCCTCGAGTTGTTCTTAGTCAATATTCATGGTAGGGGCCAAGTTTTGTCCAACAAGTCAGTTTCGAACGTTTCGCCTACACATAAAAAAAATATATATAAACAAAGTTATACACAAACAAGATTATGTACACCGAACAAACATACCTCCGCCCATGATGAAGATCATGGGACTTACCTCCGTCGTCCGGAAATCACCTTCTTGGTTTGACACTTGCCTTCCCCGGCAATGACGCCAAATATGCTTGACAAAATTCCGTGTTGTTTCCTAACCTATAAACATCACATTTTAGCATGTATAGTATATGAATGAAAGGGAGTGTCACTCTCCTAGGGATGATGTCAAAAGAAAGGGCAATGGAATGGTGGATGAATGAGATTTCAAATGTGAGTATGTGTGAACAAAAGTGCTCCCCAAGCGCAAGGAGACTTTCGCGGATCGTGTTTTACTTGGTGGTATTCCAAGGTCGTTTCCACGGGGAAGGAAGTAAACCGAGGGGAAGGTGATTTTGGGAGAAAGAAAGTGTAAAATCTTTGATTGTTGGAAGTTGTTTGGTGAAGTTGTTTTGATGCTAGTAAAATGAGAAACAAATGTTGGCAAATCCAAGAGGTCACTCCAATAGGAATACCGTCTCAACTCGAAACCCTCCTCCAATAGAGCATGAATGAACGATTGATTCGTGGGAAGCTAGGGGTAAGATTGGTGAGTATCTAAGCATAAACCGTGACTAGGCCTACGGAATATCAAAGACTCACCAAGTTATCCACCCTCAACCCAGTCAAACCGAACCATTGAACTCTGAAAGAGGGGAGGAGAATGAGTTGAAATGGTATACCCAAGTGGAGGTTCCTCTTGGTTTTGCCAACTAAGAGATTTAGCTATTCATGCTTAAAATAAAGACAACAATATGATGAGAAGACATTATGAAAAAATAAAGACTAAAGCTAAGCATAAACGAATTGCATAAATTTAACTTCCGGATAACCACCTCTTACTAAAGATTGGATGAGAAACTACTCACTCTTCATGGCTTTGTTAAAACTAGAAAAGTGAGTGATGCTCATCCCTCCAAGTAGAGGAGTTACAAGGTAACACATTTTACACAAGGAGCCGATCTTCGACAAAGAATGAGTGAATCACGTTCCACCCTTCACGGCTTTGGTAAAGCTCTAGAAAAGTGGAAGAGTTTCACTCCTCTAAGGGAAGAAGGAAGCTCAAGCAATGGAAATAAAAGAAAGCAATACTTAAAGTAAAAGAAAGCAATAAATTAAAAGAAAGTAATAATACAATAAAAAAATAATACTTAAAGAAAACAATAAGCAATAAGGAAAGAAATAATACTTTTGGAGGATTTTCCACTACCAAAAGATGAATGCTTTACAAGTCCTAAGGGGTGGTATTTATAGGCAACAAGGGAGGGTGAAAGTCTTGTTAGGTGGCTTTGAATCTTGTTAGGTGGCCTTGAAAAGTCTTGTTTGGTGGCATGAAAGTCTTGTTAGGTGGCCTTGAATCTTGTTAGGTGGCATGAAAGTTTTGTTATGTGGCTTTGAATTCTTTGATCCCCATTTGTGTTGAGCTTTAATAATTGGCACCCCAGTAGTTTGTAATTTTAATGCAATTGGCTCCCCAGTAGTTTGTAGCTTTGACGTACAAAACCTTGAAAAGAACAACAATTAATGCATTATCCTTTATTCACACACTAACTCTAATTTGATTTATTTTGACTAGTTTACTTTATTCAACTAACACAATTTATCTATTAAATTATGTCTTAATTAGGGTTAATCACCTATCACGCTCTTTTTCTCTTCTAGGACTTCAGTCTCTTTTCGTTTCTTCTTTTCCTTTGTCTTTTTGCGTAGATGAGCCTCCCACCTTTGAGAGAAAAGTTTCCTCACCGTTTATATATTTTTCTGCCTTAGCCAATACGTCGGTCATACTTGCCTAAGGGTTCTTTGAAATAGAGAACATCAGGTCTTTGGATTGCATGCCTAGACCAGCTATAAATGCTGTAATGGTAAACTTCTCATCTAGGACATCAACTTTCAGGAATTTCAAGTTGAATCGCTGGACATAAGACCTGAGGTTCCCTTGGGGTCCTTGTTTCACGTTTAATAAGTGGTAGCTCAATTTTCTGTATATCCGAGCTTCTATGAAGTGAGATACGAAGGATATAGAAAGCTCTTTAAAGGACGAGATCGAGGCTAGGGGGAGCCTATTGAACCATGCCAAGGCTGACCCTTTTAGCATGATGGCGAAGGCTCTACAGTGCACTAGGACCTGGTATCTGTGGAGCTCCATCTGGTTTTTATAAGTATTTAGGTGGTCCACGGGGTCCCATCAAAAACTTCTATCTGCGGCATCCTGAACTTTGGGGGGAGGGGAAAATGCAACACGCCTGCGGTGAATGGTGACATGGTTTGTTGCACTAGGGCATCCATTGTAACTAGAGCCTTGCTCCTCACAGCTTCCTTCATATGGCTGAGCTCTTGCTGGATGCCATTGAAACGCTGTTCCCAATTGTTCTCTCCTATCTTGTTGATAGGGGAGAAAATCATTCCTTTCACCCCCAATATTTTGACTTTGCACCTCTTCGTTGTGTCCATTCCTTGGGGGTGGATGAGAATCTTGTCCCCAGGTCTGACTATTTTCCCCTNTTTATCTTGTTGATAGGGGAGAAATGCAACACGCTTGCGGTGAATGGTGACACGGTTTGTTGCATTAGGGCATCCATTGTAACTAGAGCCTTGCTCCTCACAGCTTCCTTCATATGGCTGAGCTCTTGCTGGATGCCATTGAAACGCTGTTCCCAATTGTTCTCTCCTATCTTGTTGATAGGGGAGAAAATCATTCCTTTCACCCCCAATATTTTGACTTTGCACCTCTTCGTTGTGTCCATTCCTTGGGGGTGGATGAGGATCTTGTCCCCAGGTCTGAATATTTTCCCCTTCCTCATCAACTTTTCTGAGGGGATCGAGGTGTTGTTGCTCTCTATGAAGGGGTTATTCTGGTCTTCTTGGGCCGGTCGTGTCTCCTGAGGGTGTTGCAAGAGCTTTAAGAGCTCTTCATTCTGCTGTATCAGGCGTTGATTAACCAGACGAAGGGCCTCCAACTTATTATTTGTGTGAGGATTCCCTATGGGGGGATTTGTCTCTGGGACGTTCTCAGGCTGTTTGTCGTTGGTGGCTTCCTGTGGTTCTTTCATCCGTGGTAGATTGGTTTAGCTTCTGCTCATGTTTCGAGTTGAGACCATCAATTACTGAAAGATCAGCGTAATTGTAACAGGAACAATCGTTCCCACAGACGGCGCCAAACTGTTGGATATTAATTAACGTGGTGCAGACTTATGGTGATGAGCATATGAGATGATCAGTAACTGGTTCTTAGGTTCTGAGCTTCAAGGCTCGAAGGAGCGAAGACTAGTATCAAAAAAATGGGAAATTGGGAGATTGACACAATAAAATTATAGTGGTTCACCAGCTGAGGAGCTCGGCTAATCCACTCTTTAATGGAGATTCTTGCTCCTTTTTCCTTTTCTTCTTATTTAGTAAGTTTACAGGATAGAGTATCTACTACTAGGGTTCTTCCCTTGTCTTGGGGGAGTAACATAATATTTATAGGGTTGTTCCTAGTTCTGTGGGATTTGCACCGAGATCCTCGTTATTTACTCGAGGAACCCTCCTTGATCTTAAAAGAGGATCCTAGCTATTTAAGGATTTTGTGCCTTAAATATGGCTCTTTGCCACCTATAAGATTTTCGTTGTCATCTAGCAACTCCCTTATCCTTTCCATTGCTGACATGTTTGGGGAGAGCTCTAGTTTTAATCCTCTGAGCTCTGCGCATCTTTCTAGACCTCTTGGTCTGACTTCCTTGTCCGACCTTCGGGTCTGGGCTCATAATTGGAATTTATTTTGAGTATCATCAAGTGTGATCAAGGACCTCATGATCCTACTGGTAAAGGTTTATCGGGTGGTCTTTGGTCGCTCTCTTTTGCCCTCACACCTTTTTATATCCAGCAAAAAAATAAAAAATAAAAAACCTCAGTGCATAATAACCTTGATCCCATTGAATTGTAATCTAGCTTTAATGAGTTCCATCCTTTTTCAATTTTGTAGTTTTTTTTTTTCATTCCATTCTTACTAAACATGTAGGGGCTGTTTGTTTTGTGGGTTTGGGGAGGGGCTTTGGAAGATGGGTTGGGGATAAATAGTCCAAATGAGGAAGAAAACTCATGTTTGGGTAAACATTTAAAGCCTGGGTTACCAAGCCTAACTTGCTATAAGGCCCGAACCTTAAACCCTAGATCGAGAGTTTCATCAAACTGAGGGGGTTCGGATGAGGGTTAACGGGTATTGACTACAAAAAGAAGATTATACTCCCAAAACCCTATCAACACTCAATTGTTTGGGAAATCCACCGATCAACAAATCTTGGAAAATCTGTGGGAAAGACAGGTGCTTGGGGAGGACACTTGTCTTCTTCGCTGGCAACGATTGAAGCAATCAATGGAGGAGGAAAACTGGCAGAGAGATTTGTGCAACATGGAGATCTCTGGGGAAGGGAAGAAGCTTGTCCTCTCCTCTGCCAACGATAGAAGAAAAGCAATGGTTAGGGATAAAGTTGCAGGGAGAGTTTTCACTGTCCAAGTCAATCTCTGTTCGGAGATGCTTTGGTTGGGCTATAAAAATCCCTTCTATTCTTTGACAAAAGTACATTAGTAGAGGTAAGTCCAATTCTTTTTGCTTCGTCTCTCTTCTATTTTTTCTCTTCTTCACTAAATCTGAGGGCTGGGTTGGGGGGTGGTCTAGAATGATCTGAACTTTGGTTTATGGTTCTTTTTTTTGGTAATATCTTTGACTTTTTTTGTTCTCCATTTGTGAAATTTTGGCTGAAAATGTGTTTTGCAGTTTGGCATTTAAATTGAGCATTTGTTAGGGGGAAGTCTGTGTTGATCCGGCCATTTGAGATTTGGAGGTTAGTGGAAAAAAATTATTAAATATGGTTTTTCTTCATAGCTTCATATCGACATCTATCTATGTTAATCAATAACCTACTTGGAAATGAAAAAACCCCAGCCTTAAAATTCTGCATTCATGCTTTGATAATTGTTTTGAAATATTTTACCAAAAAATGGGTTTCCTTCGAACAAATGATGCAATCTTTCCTTAGCCCCATCAATAGCAAGAAGGTGTTCTGTCTTGTTTGGATCATCTACATTTCATATAAACAGAAATACTCACAATTGGAATAAAGAATGTGCTTAATGAAAGTGTAGAAGTTATTCATGTCCAACCGGAATAAAATCTTTGTTATTTATCAATATGTGTCAGGTACACTGGATGAAAAAGCTCTAGCCGTGAAATGTGCATGTAGCCTAGTGGGATACAAAATTTATAAGATCAATAGTTGATTGTTCAATTACCATGGAATGCAGATTATTTCATATATTTGTTTTATGGTATCTAATAGGTTGTTTAACTCAATGCATTTTACCCCCTTTGACCCAACACATTAAGTTAAGAATTGGCTTTTATTTGTAATGCTACAAGTAGACTTGAAATGTTTTAAGATTCATGTGTTTTATTTTTATTATGAGATTGGTATTTCTACAAGGAGTTTCATGGATGTGGTGGTCATTTGGACAGCTCCTGAGGTCTTTATTTTTGTTTTGTTCTTCATTAAATATGAGACTTTGATATTTTCGTTTGTTGTTCTACCTAATATTGTGTTTGTAGTATGAGGTTTCATTTGACTGTATTTACTACTCGTATGCATAAAACTCAAATTTCAATTATATTCATGAGTTCAATGAAAAGTGAAAGACACGGTAATTCATGTTTGTTCGTGAACTTTTCTTTTAGAATTGCATTTTATGTTTTATGTTGCTCAAATGTAAGAATGTAACTTATATAAATTGTGTTATATGAGTTCAAAGTTGTGTTGGGTAGCTTCTTATCTATATTTGCATCAAAGTATAGCTTTCAGACACACAGTGAACACATCGACACACACACACACAAGATGAGGAAATATAAATGCACACACAAACACGCACAAACACACAAACAGACATAGAAAAACTATATAGTTAATTTTTTTTTGCCACTTTATTTTGTAACTATTAATATTGATATGCTGGAGGTTTTTTATGTTATTATTTCAGTGAGTATGGCCCGTAAACATGACAATGTAGCAGCTATGCTTGTTGCTCTTAATAATTTAGTTGGAGAGTTCGTTATTATTTGTACTTGTATTTTGATGGTTATGATTGCATTATGGGCCAATGAAAAGCGAAAGACACGGGTATTGACTAGGTCAGTCGATAGATTCCGTGTACAAAGTGAGCATCTCCATAGGCTTATCGAAGAAAACAATAGAACTTGTATAGAACAAATTAGGTTGGATAGGCATACATTCCACGTGTTGTGCTGCCTTGTTAGGGAAGTCGGTGCCCTTACCAACACAAAGAATGTGTGCGTAGAAGAGATGGTTGCAATGTTCTTGAGTGTCATAGGACACGATGACAAGAGTTGCCCAATTACGTTCAACTTCATTAGGTCTGGGGAGGCAATGAGCAGACACTTCAACGCTGTTGTACACGTTGTTCTAAAATTGAGACAATTACTCTTGAAGAGGCCTGAACCGGTTACAGATGGGTGTAGTGATCTCAATTGGCGGTGGTTCAAGGTACATAGACGGTTATGAGCAATGTGGTTGTCATTATTTCGTAATATAATTTAAGGTACACATTTGTAATCAATTATTTTTATCATAATTGGTGCTTATAGGGATATGTAGGGGCACTAGATGACACACATGTTAGGGCCAAAGTACCCGTCCTACACCAAGGTAGATATACGAACAAGAAGAGGTGGACAACAACCAATGTGTTGGGCGTTTATGGGTAAGACATGAAATTTATCTATATATTGCCCAGGTGGGAAGGGTCTGCCTCTGATTCTAAGGTATTGTGAGATGCCATCACAAGACGAAATGGGTTGAAGGTGGAACATGGTAAGGTTACAAATTTTTTTTTTAGACATTTGGTTACTTGGAAAGCTTTTGAAGATTTTAGATTTATTCAATTATTTGCACTTGTAGGTAAATATTACCTTCTGGATGTTGGGTACACAAATAGAAAAGGTTTTTTGGCTCCATTTTGTGGCTAGCGATACCACTTGCAGGAGTTTGCTAATGGTGCCGCAGCTCCCAAAAACATGCACAAGTATTTCAATTTGTGGCACGCAACAATGAGGCAATTCATAGAAAGGTGTTTTTGGACTACTTAAAATGCAATGAGCTATCCTTAGAACAACATGTTTTTACTCAGTACCAATGCACAACAAAATCATTGCTACTTATTATTTACTCTATAATTTTATAAGGAACGAGATGGAATATGATTCAGTGGATGAAGAGTTGGATGACCATCCGTTGGAAGATGAGAATGTGAATGATAATGACATAATCGATAACATTGAATCTTCTCATAGTTGGACTACGTAGCGTGATCAACTAGCGGCAAACATGTACAATGACTAGAGGTGTAATAGGGTAGCTTGATGTTAGTCGGTTTAAGATTGTTACATGTTTTTAGTGAATTCATTTCGCCTCCTTTTGTTTTGTTATGTTCTATTCCATGCAAGTAATGGTATTAGTGGATGTTTTACATGTATGTAAAAGTCTTTAAACCTTCTTGAAAACATATTTTTTGGCAAATTGAACTTAATTATAGGCCTACATGTGGATTCAATGCTATTTGTAGTGGTGACATGACAAGTGTCGGGAGTTCACAGTTTAGGGGAAGTTCCCAGTATGATAAGGGATCGAGACGAATGTGAACAGCATTTGAAAAATCTTTGCTTTTAAATACACTTAAAGACATTTTGTAATCAGGGCTGGAAATCCCATAATGAAGCTTTCAGATCAGACTATTTGCACCACTTGGAGAAGGCTTTATTTGATGCACTTCAGATCAGGCTATTTGCACTACTTTAGTGATGGTTATTGTGTTATTCACATTTCACAATAGTCAAGACTATAATAACAAGAATAAAAATGGGTTTGAAGATGAAATGGTATGTTGTGTTCAATGATCGAAGGGTAGGAATTGTTGACACTTGGCAAGAATGTCACGACCATGTCACTAGATATCCTAGCGCATTGTACAAATCATTTTCGTCATACGAAGCTGCAGAGGAGGCCTTAGTAGAACACGATTCCGCTGTAGTGATGGACCAAAATAACAATCCAATGCACAGACACGAAGACAACACTATGAATGAACCATGACCCACTGGAGCATGTGAACGTATTCTCATGCCACACAATATGTTTGGAAGACAAGTGAACGTTGGCAAGCACCTCGATTAACTCTGGGCCTAGTGATGGAAGTAGTTATTTTTTGGAAGAGATGTCATTTCAAGATGAAAGATATGGAGGCTTTGGGGTTGTTCCGTTGGAACAATGAACAACAAGTTCTTTTCCCAATCAATCCGATCGAAGTGCCTTTCTTAGAGGTTTATTTTTGTTATGTTTTTACATATGTATATTAGTATACAAATTATTATGTACATGTGTGCATAAATCCAATATGTCATTTTTTGTAGGATAACACTTTTGCATCTCGAGCATGTGAGCGGACTTGTCCCAATTACGAGATCTTCACGAAAATATTTAGGCCACATGGGGATGGTGGAAATATATCAACAATTTCCAGTGTTGCCTCCACTTCAATCACGTCTCCATATAGGCTTACTATGGACTTAGTTATCATTGATGATTAATGTCATCAATAGATGTGAGATGTTTGTAACTAATATAATGATGTTTCATATAGTGTAATGGGAATATGTACGTCCAGTTTGCTTTATTTGGGAATGGACAAGTTTTGTGTGTATCTCCGTATATCTAAATCTTAGAATGTTACAATGTCTTGTATGATTAATGCTTTATTGCGCTTTATTATGATTATGAATTATATTTTAGCAACATTCATGCTTTTTTTCATAAGTTAGGAAGAAAAAATAATCAAATATGAAAACCATAAGGACACAAGAAAATGTACGTATACGATATTGAGTTTGGATTAGATTGACGAAGGGGCAAAATAGTCATTTATAAAAAAATATATTATCATAATAGTGATATATCTGTCGACATACTAAACATGGGTATGTTGAATCTCATTTTTGTAAAGATGGATTTGGGTTTAGAAGGATTTGGACAAGTCAATCCAAACCCCTCCCAAAAAACCATCCAAACAGCCCCGTAAAGATTTACTCTTTTCTTCCCTTTGTCACAATTCTTCCTAATTTTCTAAGTTATAGAGGTTGAGATGAAGTAAAAATATATACAATAAAGCAAAATATATCCAGACACACAAAAATGGAAGGTTTTACTGCAGAACTTAAGTGAGAATCTTTATTTAAAATTAGATTTGATTTGAGCTAGACAGATCACAACTACCAACGAACATTTGGTCCAATGGTACTCTTTGTCTTGTGAAAGCTTTATCTTCTTAAGGTCAAGGGTTCAAGCCCTCTCCCAAAAACAAAAAAAAAATAGATCACAACTAAACAAAATATGATCATACTCAAGCTAAATAAGCCCATCTCGATTAATGCCCCTTAGTAGATCGAATGAGGTACTCTTTCTCTTTCTCTCTCTCTA